TTTTCAAGAAACAATTGCAATTTTTTTCATGACATTTATATGTGTGTGTACTGTCTATAAAGTTAAATGTGTTGATTTAAATTGTTTTTAGTGTTAACTAAAACTATCTTGTAAAAATCAACTTGAAATAAATTTTTTTAATTAAATTAAAATTAAATTAGCTAAATACTATTTAGGCCTTAACTTTTTAAACAAAAAAAAAAAATACTTTTATTTTTTTAAAAATACGTTTTTTATTATTTTCAGTTTTTTTCTTTTATTTCTGAAACATTTGTCCCTTTAAGATGAATTATCTAAACGATATTCTGTCAAATGAAGTAACATAAAAACCGTGGGACAATAAAGCCAGTTTAGCATATTTATTAATTTTTCATCAAAAAATGTTTTAAGGCTGCAGTGCCCTACACTACACACCTTTTATAGCCCAATCCTAACCTGGCATTTTTTTTTTATTTATTATTATTTTTTTTTCTTCTCCAGGTATACCATATAAAATATACATTTATTATCGTGATAAAAAGAAAAAATATATATAAAATTATTACGTATCAGATTGATAAAAATACATTAATATAACTTTGATACATTAATATAGTATTGATGCAAACTTAATATAAATTCTGGTATAATAACTATTATATATATGTTTATTTTTTTCTATACTTTAATACCTAAAAAAAGGAAATCAAAGAAGATTCAGCATTATTGCGTATAAAACTCCGAAAAAAAATCTTTTCACAGATTCCCTTAATAGCGCCGTTTGGCGTATATCTATGTCTATATAAAAAGTTAATTAAGTAAAATTAGAAATAATTTTTTGTAATTAGCTTTGTAATTACTATTTCTACTTTTAATGTTTGTTAAAAAAAAAAGTTATTACAATAATACTTTTAATGCTGGATGTTTTTCAAATGTCATTTTTATCTTTTGATATTTAAAAAAAATGTGAACTATTGCCAAGCAAGTAACTTGGAGCAATAATTTTCTATTATTGCTCTAAGTTACTCCGGTCTCTATTAGCTTCTTAAGTAAGTACATTTTAAAGCTCAAAACATTTACATTTAAGGAAATGGGCAAAATAGATCATTTTAAAACTTGGGGCAATATGGCAAGTCCTTCTAATACCGGTAGTACCGATACCGGTATACCGGTAGTATCGGACTTTTTCAAGTACTGAAATACCGGTATTGTTTTGGCTCATTACCGGTATTAAAACTATATGCAGAGGGCTTGTGATATAGCAGATGGAAAAACCCTCTTTTCGCGAAATACAAAATTAAATGATATATTTAAAATTTCAGTCGCAATAAACAACGCTCCTGGTGGGATAAAGATAGCTAAATGACAAAAAACGTGTTTAAAACGTGTAAAACACGTATTACTAACTATATTACTTCTTTAATGCGTCTTTTATCCATAGGTAGCGACTAGCTAGATATTCGCTGACTAGTCGTTAGCTCATTTCCCACCGGGCTTGTTCATCTTGTAATGAGAGTATAAAATCAGGCTCGCTATAGAATTTTGAATAGAGAAAATAATAAGTTGTTTGATTTAATTTTTATAAAAAAAAATATTGTTAAAAAATATTTAGTTAAAGATAAAACTTGTTTAATTTCAAAGTAAAATTTTGTCTTCCTTCTATTAATAAAGCACTGATTTAAAATATTATCATTACGTCACTTGCTCTAATGTAGATCCCATGTTTGAGTTTTGCACTAACGTAAATATGAAAAGTTTGAAATCGTTACAGTTGAGAAAATTCTTAATTTAGTAAAAATGTCAAGATGATAGATTATTGTTTTTCATGGTGTAACTTATAAATGTAAAGTTATAGAATTAACAGCAATTATAGTTACGCTTACTTAACTTTATGCATTTTGAATTAAGAACTAAAAGTCAAGATTTTATGTCTAAGAGATAGAATTACCTTAATCTCCAGAAAAACATAAAACATCCTAAAAAATATTCAAACCGTTCAGCACTGAACGAGTTGATGAAAGTTCTGTGTGGTTTTACTTTCTGCTTAATAAAGAAAATTAACTTGCAATGTGTAAGAAGTGCAAAAAAGAGATATAATCAAATGGTGGAGTACCAGTGTACTGAATACACATCTAAAAACTAAACATGAAATCGACTTGCTGAATAGGAAATTGTCCCATGAAGCAGCATCATCATCGGGTTTTTTTTATTGGTACCGTTATCAACGGACGAAAAATCCAAACCTCGGATCACCAATTTCTTACAAAATCAACGCGACAATTCGTTGTTCTCAGTTTTTCTAGATTGAACACCCTTTATGTTGGAATCTTGGATTAACGAGAGTTGTTGGTTCGTAGCTTGCTTAAAAATGCATTGATTTAGTTCAAAAATTGTTGACATTTTATGTTGAATTGGAGTGTAGATTTTCAGCGAGTGGCAACATTATCACAAAATTAGATCATCTATTAAGGATGATACTCTAAAAGTCCTATATTTGTTACGGGCTCATTTTACAAAGGAGAAAAAAGCGAAAATGAAAAAGTTAGTTATTTTGATATAAAATAAATAAGCTTATTGAATCAATGAAATTTTTACAATTAACTTGAAATTTTATTCATATTATGATAGGGGAAAGGCGCCTATGTTGGCATAGCGCCTATGTTGGCATAGCGCCTATGATGACATACCGGTCATATTTCCATAAAAATTAACTTTGGTGAAAGAGTGATTAGACCTACATGGCTATACTTTAGTTTTAGTGTAAACGCGTTCCTTGTGCACAAATATTGTTTTTATAATCAACAAAAATCGATGTTGGGATGTGCTGTTGTAGTTTTATTCCCTTCATATATTTAAGACTGTGATTTTACTATTAACTGTGCAAAAGGGGAATTTTCATGCATTTTATATCCAAGTTTTGTGCATTTAGTGGAATACTTACTTTAATTTTATCTTTTGAACAAGACAGACTTAATGAAAATGATGACTTCTTCCCATGATGGCATATTAACGAATTGGGGGTGTTGCAATATTGAAGAGTTGGAAAAACCTTTTTTTTTAATAAGAAAAACTTATTCTTAAGTAAAGTAAAAAGAAACCGATGCTTCAAAAGTTGTTTTTTTTGGTCCAAAAATACATAAAATGCAATATATCCTATGCGCATGCGCAAAACTTTACAATGCTGCTTCGTATTATGAAATGGTAAATTAGGGTAATTTCTGGCTTTTCTGAGGGAAGACTCTAAGCTTAAGTAAAATCATCAAGTTACCCTTGATCCTAACAAGCCCAATCCACCCCTATGTCATTATAGAAGAAGTGGTTGCCTATGATGGCATACTTGTGCTTTTTTTTAAAATAAGAATAACTTATAAAAAAAATAAAAACTGATGAAAACTCCGAAGATTATTATTGTTCTACATGTTACAAGGAATGTATCCAAATCAAAACTTTTATTATTGATCTTCAGGATACTGAATAATGAAGCTTCAAAATTAAGTATGCCATCATAGGCGCCTTTCCCCTAATTTAAAAAAAAAGTTTAATACCGGTATTGAAATTATTTAGTATCGAAAAACCGGTATTGAAAAATGGTATCGGTATTGGAAGCACTAAATATGGCCCGTTATTGATTTTATTTATAAATGTGTCTAATTATTTTTCATTGTTTTTTAGTATGCCCGTTAAATGGGTCTCTGAGACCTAAAAAAATTCTTGATCAACTCTTAGAAATTATCTTTATGTTAAGACCAATTTACTGCCACTTCTGTCGATTAAGAGCTTGTGATTGCTCAAGATGTTGACCAAGCCTTACAAAATCATTTCACTGATTTTGTAAGAGCCAGCCTCAGATTCTATTGCATTGTTCTACCTAACAATAGAAGGGTTGTCGCGAAAGTAAGGAAAGATCTTTTAGAGATTGCGCGAGCATGTCAGCCAAGAGTTGATAGAACAGTTAAGAGAACAGAGAAAGAGAGCATTAGTATCTAAAAGAGCAAAGAGGACCACAGATGCACCAGAAGCCAGTAAGTTACCTACCAGTTGAAGTAACTGATATCGATGAAGGCCTAGAATAAGATATTAAGGTTCCTGTTTGCTCTTTTATTAATATATATATCAATATATCAAAGACTTTGCACACGAGAGGACCAGTATTAAGAGCATTGGAGATGTTGAAAACTGGAGAGTATTAGAGATATTAAAAAGTAGAGAGAATTGAGGATGTTTAAAAGTTACTTTTACAAGTTAAGACAAGCTTAGTTTGGTAGAGGTGAAAAACTGTGAACTTTGCATGTACGCCCTGGCTAATTTTAAAACAAATGGTCCTTGATTCACAGTTTATAAAGTTTGATTTGTACGTAAAATTTTTGAGAATCTCTAAAACCTTGTTTAAGATTGTTATATAGTAAACAATACTGATAACTTAACTGGCGGTTAAAAGCACGCATCGGTTTCACAAACCAAATAAGAAACCAAATTTTAATGATATAGATGTCAACGACAATTGTTTATTTAAAATTTTGAAAATGAAGCAACATTTGCTCTAAAACAGTCTTAATTCTTTAGAAATTTTTTTTATTTTATTTATATATGTATTTTGAATTTTATATTATCCAGTTTTGCGATTGTAGCTCCCTTTAATTTCATAAACAGGTGTCGCAATATTTTGTTGTTTAAATAAGGTTTTTTTGTTAAGTGACTGAATTATCCCATTTTTGGGTTTTTCAAAAATAGTTTTCATTATAACTTTTAAAGTTGCCTCGCTGATTTTCACATATAATGTGCATTTTGTATGATTAGTTCTTGAATAAAATGTACAAGTTTATAGCATTTGTATTTAGAAAGTTATTGAAAATAAAGCAGTCAAAATGTGGTGTTATTACTCAAACTAACAGTATTTAAAAAAAAGTGAAACGAAAAAAGTTATTGTTCTCTCTTGATATAGAGAACATGGGCAATTTACAAATATAATTACTGCAAAAATTTAAAATCTTTTCAATTATAATGAATAATAATTAAAATACCTCACAAATAGTCTTTTTTATTCCATTTTTTATCCTAAATGCAGCTGCACTTACATCTTCAAAAGTTACTACAATCGGTCCATCATTTACAACATGTTTTAGAATTTTTTCTTTCTGATGTCTGTCATGAGGCTTTCCAACAGCCTCACAATCTTCAGTTTTATTATGGTCATTTGACATTGTTCTAAAAATATGGATATTCATCAAGTTTTACTAAGCGTTCTTATAAATTAAAAATAATTCAACAATCACCCAATTTTGTTTTCTAGCCCATCAAAATCTGATAATACATTTTAGAAACTGACTAAGTTGAGTTTATATTTTTAAATATAAAGTTTCAATTATTGCATAATGACTTGTAATAATAATATATATATATATATATATATATATATATATATATTATATATATATATATATATATATATATATATATATATATATATATATATTACAAATTATGACAAAATAAACTTCCTAATATCAAAATATTAATTATAATAAGAATAAAGTAAGTTAGATAGATAAATTTATAATATAATGAGATGTTTGTTTATTTAAAGAAGGATTTTCCCATTTAATATGAAGTGCTGCTTTTATATTAATTTGTTAATGGTAGACCCAGTATCCAAAATCTGAAAGCAATCATATTAGTTAGTGTTTTACAATAATGGATGAATTTAAATGTTTAAAAATATACGATTGTTTGTCACTCGTAAGGTGCTCATTTACCCATGTTGTCAAATGTCTGGAGGTTTCTCCAATATAACTGACGTTACAGCCAGCACAAGAAAATTTGTAGACAACGTCAGATTTAGGCATCTTAGGAAGTGGATCTTTTATGTAAAAACTGTTTTTTAATTTATCGGTTGGACATTTCCATTCCAGTGAGTCAAAAAAAAAAGAAATTTTAAAACAAATATTTTTTTAATTCGGAAGATGGAACTCAAAAGAAGATAAGTGATATTTTGATTATCCAAAAAAAAAAAGATAGAAGACAAATGTTTCTTCATGTTATAATTATTTAAAGTTCGCAATAAATAAATAAAATATTTAAGAAAAAAAAACAAATAATTTTATTACATGTGATTATAACAT